GCCACTGAAGTCGATGCTATGACCTGTTGCTTTCATGTGTTGGACTAGTGAGGAGGTGTGTTCCAGCTTTTTGACTGCATTTTTGTGTTCATCCAGGCGGGTACTTATTCTTCTATTGGTCTGTCCAATGTATGTGGCCGGGCATGATGCACAGGGGACTTCATATATGCCTTGGTTTTCCAGGTCAATTTTATCTTTGGGGTTTCTAAGGATGGCTGCTATTTTTCTGTCTGTTTTGAAGGCAGTCTTGATGTGATGTCTGTGTAGTATCTTACTGGTTTTGTCTGTAGTACCTCTTATGTAGGGCAGGACAGCTGTTCCATAGGTCTGTTCATCTTCTAGGTCTCCATTATGTCTCAGTGTGTTTTTGTGGATTAAGCCGGTGATTTTGCTTTTGTGGAAGCCGTTGGCTGTCAGTACTTTAGTCAGGGTGCATAGTTCAGTCTTTATGTGTGTCTTGTCTGCCAGGTGTTTGGTTCTGTCGATTAGTGTTTTGGCCACGGAGTTTATCTGTGCTGGGTGGTGGTGGGATTTGGTGTTGAGGTAGCGGTTGGTGTGTGTTTTCTTCTGGTATATGGTGTGTCCAAATGTGCTATCTGTTTTTTTGTAGATTAGTACATCTAGGAATGGTAGTTGTTTGTTTGTTTCCGTTTTCATGGTGAACTTGATTTTGGGGTGTGTGCTGTTTAGGTGTGTTAGGAAATTGTTTAGGTTTTCTTTTCCATGGGGCCAAATCACAAATGTGTCATTGATGTATCTTAACCATAGTTTGGGTTTGTGGGTGGCATTAGCCAGGGCTCTGGATTCGAATTCTTCCATGAACAGGTTTGCAATGATGGGTGACAGTGGTGATCCACTGGGGCTCCTTCAATTTGCTTGTATCTTTGTCCTTTGTATATGAAATATGTGTTGGCTAAGCAGTGTTCTGCTAGTTCCATGAGGTGTATACATATATATGTATACATATGAATACAAATGTATACATATATACATTTTACAGGATATATTGAGGAATGGTTATTTTTTTTAATCTTTATCATTGATGTGATCTGCCTTGTTACAATAACTCCTTCGTTCTTTTAATGTTTTAATTTCTCTATATAGTTTATGATTAAATGCACATCTTCTGTCATTTCCATAACTTATCCAAATATCAAACATTACCTTTTCTTTAACCACTCATACCAAATGTTCCATATTTCATAATAGTCACTATCTTGTTTATTTTTTAACAATTTGGTTAGGCTATCCATCTCAGTGCATTCATGTATTTTTAATTACCATATCCTCTGAAGGAATGGAATCCAGTTTCCAGTTTTGTGTGTAGGTTATTCTGGCCGCAGTTATGATGTGCAAAATTAAATATTGATATTTTTTCTCCATGTTTAAATCTATCATACTTAGCAGAAAGTTTTTGGGTTCAAGTTTTAAATTTTGTTTTGTTATATTTAAAATCCAATTTCTAATATTTCTCCAAAATTTCTGAGTACGTGGGCAAGTCCACCACATGTGAAAATATGTTCCTTGTGTGTAGTTACATTTCCAACATTTGGGTGGTAGGTTGGGGAACAACTTAGCCAGTCTCGCAGGAGGTAGGTGCCAGCGATGAACCATTTTATATAAGTTTTCTTTATACGAGACTGACATGGTTAATTTGTCATTTGTTTGCTAAATGTGTTCCCACTTATCTAATACTATGACCCATGTTTTTAGCCCAAATTATCATAGATTCTGTGACTGTTTCTTCTTTTAATTTGTAGTCCAAAAGATATTTATATGTTTTACTAATTGTTTTCTTTTCCTCTCCTAGCCATATTTTATCTAATTCTTGTGGAGTCATATATTAAAGCCAAATTGTTCTCTATCTTTTTTATAATGGGTTTGTATTTGTGCAAAGGGCCACCATGCTATCTCCTTTCCTTGAATTTGTATTTGGTTCCTATTTTTAAGCTCTCCAGTGTCATATAATAAATCTTTATACCTGACAATATTTTCATAATACAATACATTTGGATGTGTGATTGCTTCCAATGTAGATAGTCACAATGGAACCTTTGGGTAGTGGGTTTTTTAATCTTTCCCCAGATACTGAACAACACATTTCCTACACAATGCCTTTGGAAATATGAATGTTGTTTAGATTTTCCATCCCACATGAAGGCGTGCCAGCCAAGTTGGAGATCAAAACCTTCTAATACTAATAACCTTCTATTTTCTAATTTAACCCAATCCTTAAGCCAGTTTACTATAGCAGCATCATAATATAATTCAAAATCTGGAAGGCCAAATCCTCCTTTTTTCTTGGCATCCTGTAATAATTTATATTTCACTGTGGGTTTTTTCCTCTGCCATATAAATTTAGATATACATTTGTTTAATTCTACAAAAAAATTCTTTTCCAACTTGACTGACACTGTCTGAAACAAGAAGAACAATTTTGGCAAAATATTCATTTTTACTATCGAAATACGTCCCAATAGCGATAACTGCAATTTGGCCCAATTATCTAAATCTTTAACTATTTGCGTTATTAACTTATCATAGTTATCTTTTTTAATCGATGACCATCTAGCAGTCAACCAGATCCCTAGGCATTTTACTTTATTTACCACCTGCATACCTAATTTATTTGTTAGTTCTTCCTTCTGCTCCTTTGTACAGTTTTTTGTTAACACTTTTGTTTTTTCTTTGTTAATTTTTAACCCTGCCACCTTTCCGTATTCTTCTATTTCTCTTAGTAGTATAGGGCTCGCTTCTAAGGGTTCTTCTAATATAAATGCCATACCATCGGTGAATGCTCTACATTTCTCCTGGATAATATACCATAATGAGATCCATCTGCTTTTGGCTTAGTTTACTGAATGAACCTTTTCACTGAGATTTCTAATTCATTGCATGAATCTTAGCTAAATGACAGTCAAACACATCTTGCTCAGCACAATTAGTTTGACTATAAGTTAGTATTCAATCAGAAGATACAATGTCCCTCTCCTCAGTTCTTCCTTCTCAATTTGTTCTCGATCATTGGGAATTCCTGAGCATATTAGATTGGATTTTCTGTATGTTTTGTCCTCTCTTTTTTTAAAAAACAGTATTCTTTCACTATTATCACTATCACTTGGAACATGTCATTGATTCCCTACTATTTCTTAGTGGCACTACCGTTTTTGTTCCCGTTTGATGTTACTCCCCACCTGTCTGTAGGCATTACAAAATGATATAATTTTTAATGACCAAGTCATGAAACACCATGTGCTGGATATTGTTTAATGACAACCTCTGATTGGTCTGTTAAATTGGACATCAAAATCTATTATCACAAAAATAAAAAAATAAACTTTTTCTGGGCTAGATTAGCAACCCCTCCAAGATGCATCAAATTTACCCTCTCATCTGCTGATACTTAGAATCAATAATGTATTACTATTGACCATATAGACGTCTAATCCAGCTAGGTTTACTTGTAATATAAACTAGCTGCTCTATGATTAAAAGGGTACTTAATTAAGAATTGGTATTCACAATTCAAAATGAAAAATATAAACAGAAGAAAAAAAGTTGAATTCTCTAGGTTAATTAAACCACTCCACCCAATCACATTTGGAAAATAAACCAAACACACAGAAATCTTGTTGAGGTGCTCTTCGTGCAAACATGCTGCAGAACTGTCCTTCATCCTGAGATAGCCGTTCTCTTATTCAAATTATATCTATGTCACACTCAGGGAAGGCGGAATCCACTATCAGTCAATCAGCAGGTGCTTGAGGGTGGACTAAAGATTATTTTTGATTCCCAAATACATACATCAGGCTAGAAACCAGGAGACCATGAGTTCTAGTCCCACTTTAGGCACAAAATCAGCTGGATGACCTTGGGCTAGTCGTCTCAACCCTAGGAAGCAGGCAATAGGCAGGTAATGGCAACTACTTCCAAATAGCCTTACCAAGAAAACTGCAACAACCTGTCCAGGCAGAAATCAAAAAATGACTCAAAGGTGCAGGCACACACACGCACACACAGATGCAGATGTACACACGCACATATACACAAAGGATATAACAAAAGGCAGGAGCCATAAATAATTTGTTATAAAAATTACATTAAATGATTTTTTTTCTAAACAGATCCTTGTTTGAGACATAACCTTTGAACATTCCTAAATACAGTACTAAGTAACATCTTCTCTCTCTAAAAAAAGAAGAAAGAAATAATACATAAAACATATTGGAATTGACTTTTGGTACAATTTGTGTATGTATGTGCATATGTGTGTATATGCATATACATACCCACACCATGACTATGTTAGCCAAACTAAACCTAGAAGTGTTTCCCTCTCTATCTTGTTCCTTACTTATAGATTTATTTTACTTAGTTTCATCTCCTATTTTTTCTTCTTCCTGAAAATAGAAATCCATGTTTTCTTCTCCCAAACTTAGCTACACAACCACAATCTGGCTATGTGGTTAAGAATTACTGGCACAAGGTCACCTAAACAATTTCATAACAGAATGGAGACCTGAAGCCAAGTCTCCCTAAATGTCATCCAACACCACAGTTCACCGCTAAGCAACATTTCAATTCTTGAAAACTCACCCTGGCACTTCACTGGAGAGGTTTGATTTTAATCACACATTACTAGGAAGAATCATCTTAATCGTTGCAATCTTCTGGCAGAGCGAGGAGTCTGATATGACAGTATTTAGTGATACTTGGCTCCCCTCCTCCAGAACAGCCACAATCAAATATAAAGGAGAACAAGGAAAATATATTGCTCAAATAAACATGGATAATAAATAGCTATTGAAGAGATCTGTCAAACAGATCTTCCTGATAATGGGATACTTTCAAATGTAGTTCTAACAGCAGATCACAAAGAGAAAATCGCTTTTGAGCCTAACTTAGTCCTGAAGAAATCAAACTTAATGTGTTCCATATATAAACATTGAATGAATAATAAAAAAAAAAATACGGGTTCCTTCCCCGTTTTCTCTCCTTACCTTAACATCGGGCAAGTGAACAAATTCTGACTGGCCCATCGCAGCTGCAAATGTTGGCTTTTTTAAATAAATAAATAAATAAAAAAGTTGCAGGATCTGAAAGTTGGGAAGCTGGAGTTATATTTTTGCTGCCACGTTGTGAAAATATCGCATTTCCTTTGGAAAAACAGACGAAGGATATCAAGGTGGTGGTGGTGGTGGGACTTGGCTTGAAGGGGGACCAGTCTGACCTGTTTTGTGCCAGAAGAGGCTGGAAACTCAAACATTAACTGATTCAGCTCTTGTTCTCAAGAGGTAGAGAGATACACTGGCTGTTGCCAAGCAGATTAGTTAAGAATCGCTATGCCAAGACTTGTAGCCAAATCTGGCTTGCTACCAAGGCAGAAATACACAAGAATCAAGCTGTCCTTGCCTTTTGGCATTTGTTCTGCCAACAGCAGATAATACTTCACCTCTCAGAGCTTCCCTGCCTTCCCTGTTTACCTTCTGGCTGGCTCCACACCTCGCCCCGAAAAGAGAATCTATAACTCAATAGAAAGGCAATTGTTCAGTCATTAGCATCTCCAGTTAAAAGGTCTCAGCTAACAAAAGTAGGAGTCCAAAAAGACAACATTGACTCGGTTGGGCTAAAGGGCTGACAATATAAATGCAGTGAGAAACCCTGTCTTCTAAATATTGTTCTACAGGTAGTCCTCAACATACAACAGTTCATTTAGCGACCGTTCAAGGTTACAACAGCACTGAAAAAAAATGACTTATGACCATTTTCCACACTTATAACCGTTGTAGTATCCCCATGGTCAAAAACCAAATGCTTGGCAACTGACTCACATTTATGATGGTTGCAGTTTCCTGGGGTCGCGGGATCATCACCTTTTGAGAGCTTCTGACAAGCAAAGTCGATAAGGAAACCAGATTCACTTAACAACCGTGTTACTAACTTAACAACTGCATTGAATCACTTAACAGTTGTGTCAAGAAAGGTCATAAAATGGGGAAAACTCGCTTAACAAATGGTTCACCTGGCAACGGTAACTTTGGGCTCAATTATGGTCATAAGTTGAGGACTAGCTGTTCCAGAATTCTGAGCATACATGGCTGATTTGTTCCTGTTGCTTCCATTTTTCCTCCTAGATCAGGGGTCTCCAAACTTGACAGCTTCAAGACTTGTGGATTTCAATTCCCAGAATTCCTCCTCCAGTCATGTTAGCTCAGGAATTCTGGGAGTTGAAGTCCACAAGTCTTAAATTTGACAAGTTTGACGATCCTTGTCCTAGATTCTCCCTATCCTGGAAGTCATTGTGCTGAACTTCCACATCTGCTCTCCCTTTCGAGTGAATTGCTCAGATGTTGGAAAAGGATCAGAGTTCAGCCAACATTCAGGAAAAGAGCCAGAGGCTCATGGAAGGCAAGAGACATCATTTTCAGCTAATGGTATCATTTGTATAACATTTTGGAGTTGCACTATGAAAAGATAATAGCAGCACAAAGCCCGAGGTTGCTGTAAAACTTACAACTGTCATCGGGATAATTCCTTCTTCAGTAGATGCCCTCTAACAGTTCACATTACAAGAGATAAAATGGCAATAGCATTTAGGCTTACATACCTCCCCATAGTTATTTACAGCACTCCCTGAGTGGTTTACAATGAAAAAGCATTATTTGCATATTGCCCCCAACAATCTGGCTCCTCATTTTGCCGACCTCAGAAGGATGGAAGGTTGAGTCAATTTTGAGCCCCATAACATCAAACTCCTGGCAGTGGGCAGAGTTAGCCTGCAATATCACATTCTAACCATTGTACCACTAGAGCTCAGAGCACACCAAATATATATTGGATGGAAATGCCAACTGAGACCAAAACTGCATTAATAACTGAGGACTTTAACAGAGTTTGTCCCTGCTTCAGTTTATACATGTTCTATCTCTAAAAGCACTTTCCTACTTAATGTCTAGTATTCTTGCTTACTTTGGGGCTCAGGATGGGCTATTAGGCCCATGAAATTATTATTTTTCTTAAATCAGAAAGAATAAAAATTAAATAAAAGATATTTTTAGTTTCTAAAATACGCATTTTTTTTTCTATTTTCTCCCATACTTTCATCTTTTTTTCTTTTTTTCTAACTTTAAATATGCTTTTATATTTATCTTTTACTATGTAAAAATCTTCAATAAAATTATATTAAAACAGGAAGACAATATACGTACAATTCTAATTAAGAACTGTTGAATATTAAATGCTACCAAGAAAATATTGAAAATCCTATGCACTATAATACGAATATGCTCAGCTCTCCGCATCCCCATTTTTCTTACTGTCAGCATGCTTTCAGGAATAAGGTTCTCGGGCTGGGGAATTCTGGGAGTTAAAAGTCTGTCAGGCTTGGAGACCCCTGCTCTACACTACCAGTCAAAACATATTGTATAACTACGTTGTATTTCTATTTAGACTGTGACTGCCTTGTGATGGGGAGGTCCCTCTGCTTCCCTCAAGCAGGGGTCCTTCAGCCCTTCTTCAACTATCTCTTCTACATCTTGCCATTATCCTAGAGACATTCTCTGTGGATTGATGGTTTAAGAAGATTTCCAATCCATTCCAACCCTGACACACTCCGGACATCAACTACCAAAGATTAAAAATTGCATTAGGAATATAATCAATACAACTGCAGTAATATACAGTCATTTTCTTACAATATCCTACCACGGTACCCACAATCAGCTCAGGGTAAAGGCCCAGTGAGATAAGACCAGTGATAAGATTAAGAGGGTTAGTGCCACAAAGATATCTGGGTGAACAGAGGTCAACAAAGTGGGGTCTACTATGTTATTTACTCATAGTACTATGAATAAATGACAGGTTTGTCATTTATTCTTTACACCCTATGTAAGGAAGGAAACGTGTGGCACAGCTGTCATTTATTCTTTAAATACTATGTAAGATGGGAAACATAGTCATGGTTATGATTTTCCCAGTTGCAATGTATGGCTGTGAAAGTTGGACCATAAGGAAGGCTGAGCGCCAAAGAATTGAGACCTTTGAACTATGGTCCTGGAGAAGACTCCTGCGAGTCCCTTGAACTGCAAGGTGATCAAATCGGTCAGTCCTAGAGGAGATCAACCCTGACTGCTCTTTAGAAGACTGGATCCTGAAGATGAAACTCAAATACTTTGGCCACCTAATGAGAAGGAAGGACTCACTGGAGAACAGCCTAATGCTGGGAATGATTGAAGGCAATAGAAGAATGGGACAACAGAGAATGAGGTGGCTGGATGGAGTCACTGAAGCAGTCGGTATGAGCTTAAGTGGACTCTGGAGGATGGTAGAGGACAGGAAGGCCTGGACGGATGTTGTCCATGGGGTTGTGATGGGTCGGACATGACTTCACAACTAACAACAACAAGGTGGGAAACACACCCTCTCTAAATGTTCAGATTAGACAGAGAGATTCAGTCCTACCAATCCTGTATACTCTGGTGTGATGCTATGTGGGATTTTAAAGGTAACAACCAAGTAAGCAGTAGAGAATATTTCCCAGGATTAGACTAGAAACCTAACCGAAAAGGATTCAGATACTTATTTCCTCCAAAAACTTCCATGGTTGCCCAGCAACTTCTTAATAACTTTTCCTGACAAGTAAAGGTTGGGTACTGGGTGAAAGAAGATCAAATCTAAGGAAGGCTTCTTCAACAAAACATACCACCTACCTGCTTCAAGGCAGGTAGCATTATAACCATAAAGAGGTGTTGATTATTTCTTGGATCTTGCCATTCTGCCCTGTTGGTAAGTTTGAACTATAGAGCAGCTCAGCTGTTCTTCAGGCTCCACTCGGTGCAAAATGCCCAGATTATGACACAAGATGCCCATCTCAATCACCACAAGGAATCCAGAGGGAATGTGTGCAATTATACACCTGCAAATAAATCTACAAAATCATCTGATGTGGTTGCAGAACAGGTGCTTTTGCCCTGACCAGCTTTGCCTAGTACCGTCCAGGTTACTCTGAATAAGGTAAGAATCAGCAGATAAAATATGTGCAGAGGATAATTGATGCTTTGCCGTTGGTTTGCTTGAACGTGGATCAAATACATTTCTTGAATCACCCCCACCAGCTTACTATGGAATCATCTCCACGGTTCCGTATCTGACTGCTACCTGTTTTTTCCTACCCATTAGAAGGAAAGCGTATAGAATTCTCAAGAGACAGAACAATAAGGTTTTCCTATTCCAGGTATTACTTGAAGCTCAGCTTGTGCCTTCTCTACTTTCACAGCAGTCTTCACACAAACATCACTTTTATTCCCCTCCCTGCCATCCAAATATAAATCCTCTCAAAATAACAGAGTAGGGCCCTGCCCACTCTCACTCACATTGTCAGCAGGAATTCAATGGGTTCTTTCATCAAGAACAGTTCCCCAAATATAGAAAATTAGACTGCAGTTACAAAGATCCTAGTCTAGCATTTTTCCTGTCATGCTAGTTTCCTGCAGGTACCATATTTAGATATTTCTATGGGGGGAGGGGATATTATTTGTTATATTTATATCATACGTTTTGCTGAGGAGCAGAACAAGCCTCCTATTTTTCCAGCATCCTCGTTTGTGCAAAGAAGGAATGGTAGCACAACTGACCTGGAGGAGGTGTGCAGAGATCCAGATTCAGAGATAAAATGGGATTCAGGAGTGCTTTCCTTGGGATTGTGTATGAGGCAGCCATACAAGCTCAGGAAATGAAGCAGCTATTTAAAGCCTTCCTGATAAGCGCTACACCGTTTCCCTGCAGGCTCCAAAACCACATTTTGCCCTTTGAATCTGGATCTCTATGCTGTCCTCATAACCACCTGGAGTTTCACAATATCTGGGCCATTTCCTCTCTTTACACTTTGATTAAAGGCACAAATGATGAATCTTGAACTTGAGAAATCGGTGAAATAACAGAAAATGCTTGTAGCTTGGGTTTTAGATTCTGGCAGTGGTTTGCTCTCCAAGCTTGTTTCAATTTAATTTCTGAACGTTTTGTTACCAGACTAGGTAACATTATCAGCAGGATTTTCCTGTCCTGTTTTCCTTTGCTTATAAATAAATGTCGCGTGTGCCAATGTGGTCAGTTGGTCATGTGATTGGTTGTTCATTTGGAGTTGTAGAAAATTAGCATCCACCCCTCTCCTAGGAGAATGAAATATTCTAGGAAATGTTAAAAAGGCAGAATATTATATTTCCCTGGATGAGAAAAGGAG